CAGCCAAACTCTTTGAAGCATGAACAAAATAATGAGTTTATTTAAAATGGGGCCTCAGTCCAAGGAATCACTTGACTGGTGTCAGGGAGGACAAACCACCACCTTAAAGATCCGTATCACGCATCAAGTCAGTCCTCCTAAACTACCTGTTCCATGAAGTTCTGACTTTCTCTGGTAAAGTTTCAATGTTACAGCATTGCTGTGGCGCAGGGAAAAGCTGAGGGAGGCACGGAGAGGAGGAGAAATCTGTGAAATTTAGAGGAGGTGCTGACTTCATATTCAATTGGACACAGATAAAGCTATTACTAAACAAGGAATGCCTAACATCCTAAATTCCATTTAACCACTTGTAGCCTGTAGAAGTAGCAGTCATATAATAAAGCATTGCCTTTGCAATGAAAGGCCTGGGGCTGAGGTCTGGAACAAATTCCTAGCCTGACAGGGACTTTTTAGGAACCTGGACAAGCAGCTGCACTGCCTGCACATCAGATTCCCACCCCGGGACACATTTTTTTCTGCCAGATTTTGTCTCTGCTACTTCAACTGTATGTTCACAGGGTCAGACACAAGCTTCCCTAACAGCAAGGAGCACAATGAGACCTTCATCTTGGTTGGGATTGCTAAGGAATACAAGCAATAAAAAAATAATGATGATAATGATGGCAGTATTTTTAGCACAGGATGCAGAGCTGCTCCAGAGAAGTGCAGCTACAAGGCAGTTCAGAGAGCTGTGTTGAGAAGTGAGAATCAGAAAACGTGAAAAAGAATAAGAATTGCTAGGCTGGAGAAATACTCAATTAACTCTAACTTTCTTAGGTTCAAATCTGAAACTTGGTGGCCCATAAAAGGTTGTCCAAGCAAACCTATGCTGTGGACCAATATGCAGCAAGTCCAGTCCTTTTGAGAAGCATCTGCACTAGAGAATAAGCGCTGTATGCTCTGTCTGCATACGCCTACTAGCTCTAACACATTCTGGATGTGTCAGACTTGTTGCATAGAGAAAGAATGGTACAGTGCATGCACAAGCATTAAATCCAGCCTACTCTGAGCATGATGGACTTATGTTTCTGCAGCTCACCTACATAAGATCTGATGCTTCCTGTCAAAGACAGAGTCACCGGGTTTGTATCACACAGCCAATCCAAAATCATGTAGTGATCAAATCTGACATTTCTGCATGTCTGTAAATCTTGTCAAAGTGTCTGGAACAAAGCTCCATCCAAGAAAATAGAAAATTACGTCAGGCCTACCCCTAGAATTCCATGAGATATTATTGTTATCTATACAGTACAAATCAAAAAAACCTTCCCAAAACTCTGAGAGATGATCTACTCCTGTAAACTGAAAATAGTACTTCCTTTTGAAAAATATTTCTCAGCTGAGATCTTGGAACAGTATTCTGTTTTTTGGAGATCTGCCAAGCATATAGTGAATGTAAAACCAACCTCCAAAACCATGCAAGCTCCACAGCTGCTAAGATGCTGAAACACACTTGATCATTAATCCTGTCACACCCAACCTAGAAATCAATTACTCTGACCACTTCCACTAGTGTCCAAAAATGGACAGCTCAGCCTCTAAAAAAAATTGTCAGATGAAAAATCTTAAGTATGTCTTAGTATGACAAATTCTGAAATATTCCTGCAGTCAGCATTTAAGAAAACCGAAGTTTAAGCAAAGTAACTTTAAAACTGTAGTAAATAGATAGAGTATCTGAACAAAGATTACTTAGCTAATCTTGAAAGGTAAAATCAGGTACATGTTTAAACAAACTCTAAAAAGGCTGAATGTTAGAAAAGCAATTTGTATTTTAAATACAAGATTTGTTTGCAGGCACTAGGGGACAAAACAAGCCGCATTTCTACCAACGTTTCTGTAGCCCATTTGTTCTACTACTATGCTCCTTATAGTTTTAACATATAACTTATTTGAAAATAGACAATACTCTAGCAAAATTCAGCACAGGTTGGTTTTGTGAAGATGAGACCAAGCATGCAGAACTGCAGCTAGTGAAGTCACAGAAGCAGAAGGATCTATGGTGTGGATGTGCTGCAAGGTTTGCTTTGCCAACATGTGCATTAAAATCTTGGATTTGAATTACATTATAGAATTATTAAATCTTGAGATAGGGCTATAAAACTTGTCTACTGACTTATCATCACTAGTTGAATAGTTAACAACAAAGCAAAAAGTCTGAATTATGTTTAAGACACATAATGTTCCCATTCCCTGATTTTACTCAAATGGTTCATAGATTCAGAGAATCACCAAGGTTGGAAAGGACCTCCAAGATGACCCAGTTCAACTGTTCACCTATCACCAATATTTCCCACTAAACCATGTCCCTCAATAGAGCATCTACATGTTTCCTGAACACTCCAGAGTCAGTGACTCCACCACTTTTGTGGGCAGCCTGTTCCTGTGCCTGACCAATTCCTTGGAGAAGTATTCCCCAATGTCCAACATGAATCTCCCCTGGTGCAACTCAAGGCCATTCCCTCTCATCCTACTGCTAGTTGCATGGAAGAAGTGGCCAACCCCAGCTCACCACAACCTCTCTTCAGGTTGCTGTAGTGAGTGATAAGGTCTTCCGAGCCTCCTCTTTTCCAGACTGAGCAGTCTCAGTCCCCTCAGCTGCTCCTCATAAGGCCTGTGCTCCAAAACCCTCACCAGCTTTGTTGCCCTGCTTTGAATAAGCTCCAGGGCATCAGTATCTTTCTTGTAGTGAGAGGCCCAAAATTGAACACAGTGCTCAAGGTTCGGCCTCACCCCTCTGGGCTTGAGTACAGAGGGATGATCACTTCCCTGCTCGTTCTTACCCATATATGAGAACTGGCACATGTTGCATAGCTTTGGGGCTAATGTAAGGAAATTTCCAACACTCCTCTTCATTTTATTATTATTATTTTTTTTTATTTTAATCCTCAAACCATATGAAAGTTAGATTACCTGATAGAAAATAGGGTATATCTCTATTTTTGTACGTTATGGAAGACAAGTCAAATAAGTGGGTTAAAAATATCATCTTGGTTCATCCACTTCTCAACACACCTGCTGTTCTCCATTTCAGTCATAAAATCTTCCAGGTCAAAGCTGAAATCATTACTAGAGAAACCAGAATGATGAAGACACTCAGCTGCCAGTTTCTAATGTAGTCTTACCAAGTTACTGTCAATCAACGACTGTAATTTAAAAAAAAACTCAACAGAATGCTGAAGAAATATTAAGAACAATTATCTCATGTCCAATTGGAACGTTAGACCTCTAGACAGAAGGGTTCATTCCTTGCAGCCTGCCAACATTTTACTAAATGACACTGGCCCTTTAACAGATGGGATACATGCTTCTTAGCTTGCCAGGATCCTAATAAAAGACACTGGCTTCTTTAAAATGAAGGACACATACCTCTCAAATTGCCAGTAGCCAAATTGGGAGTCAGCAGTTTAAAATAAAGGCACTCATCAATCTAGCAAAATCGAGGAAGCAATATAGAAATTTAAAAAGAAACGGTACAAAGTTTCTTCTGACGTTACTTAGCTTAGAAGAAGCAAATACTTAAAACACTGGCTAAGCATATACAGTAGAAGCACTGTAGCAACTGGATACCTTATTACCTTTTAAAATGAGTAGAACAAATCTTAGCAGCAGACTTCAAGGGTTGGGGCTTAGATTTATTTTTTCTTTTTAAATCCATTAGCTATCTATCCACTCACACAGCTGACCATGCACTGCATGACTCAAATGAAAGCAGGATATCTTTTCCCTGGGCACTGGCCAGCACCATAAAGGTTGGGCAGTGTGCTCATCTGTACTGTGAGAAAAGATTTTGCCTCTCAAAATGAACTACATCTGCTCATCTCCTAGGAACAGGATTCTCCAGTGAGGATTCTCCAGTGTTCAAAGACACCTCTGACAGCTTTCCCTATGCACTGACAACCCATAATACTACAGCTTCAAGAGCAACAGTTTTACAGCAACTGCAAAAACCTGTTTAAAGCCAGCAAGTATGGGTTCTTTAACTTTTCTGACAGCAGCCATGAGAGGGGAGCAACGACCCTCACTGGCATGTCATGAAGGGCACCTGCATGAGTTCGAATCTTAGCAAGCCCTGTGAGCATTTACAAAATATCCCAGACACGGGCAGATGTACAGAAGGAGAAAATTACACATTCTCTGTCTGGAAAGGTAACAAAGCTGGTAAAATTGGGCACTAAAAGGGAACCTTTTATGAACAAGACAGAGAACTGGTCTTATTCACATCAGTAGTTCCTTGTATTTCAGCAACAGAACCTTACTTCAGATTTACTGCGTCTCACTACTGGTGGCCAAGCGATGCCTATGAACCTCAGCTTCTTGTCTTGTCCAGCATATCCTTCCCCACTCCTTGATTGCTTGCAGACCCCCTGCTGCTGACTCTTCAAGACTGACTTTAACTATTTAGACATGCTTTCTTCCTGTTGTCTGCCTACTCAGCATTTGCTGACTAGATACTGCTGCAACACGAGGCTAACCAGCAAACTCTTATGTAGACAAGAACACACTTAAGTACAAAAACTACCATCTAGTGGTACAGCCGGCTGAAGCTAAAAGGTTTCTGGTGTACCAGAAAACACAGCAGAGGCCGCCAGGGAAGAAAGGAGGAGGTTCTTGCTTTAGAGAAATACAGAAAAATATGCAAGTCTGCTGACCTGAGGCACGGCCAGAAGTGAAACAGATTTTGAAGGAACTCATCTGGACTAGCTTAGCAGAAGTTAAGTTCTGAATAGTAGTTACACAGTCAAGTGCAGAGAAGTTAGAGCAGGAAGGCAGGCTCTCATAATACAGCAGCCCTAACTCAGCCAGGAGAGTAGCCTAACACTGTCCACTGCCAGGACCTGTCTCCAAGTGGGCAAAGTCTAGGACTTCTCTAGTCAGGCTGCCTGTCTGACCATTTACTTCAGGCAGTCCTTGCTTTGAAGTTTTTCTTCTGACGAACTAAGGTGCTGTGATCATTTACTCACCTTTCGCGTTCATCTTTCATTTTCTCTAGATCCTCTTCTTTAAGTATGTCATGCTTTGGATTCCCCTTCTGATCTGCTTTCCCACTTTTATCTTCTTTTTTCTTTCCAAATCTGTTAAAAATATAAAGGAAGGAGTCAGGAGGAAGTAATTACCAGAAGAAAAAACAGTACTTATCTAACATAAAACACAGAAATTTTAGGCAATCACGACACTGAGAGCTTTTATCTTGGTCAATCCCAGATCCCATGCTGCAAAAGGAGTCACCAATTTTAAATAGGCTATGTACTTTAGGTAGGTCTAGTTACACACTGATTTGGTCTCTGAAATGTTTAAAGATGTTGTTTGAAAGAGAAAGTAGTAAAGCCCAACAAACCTGAAATGGAAAGCATTATAGTAGGGGCTGGACTATCATCAGTGCACATTTTAATGTAGCTGAAGGTTCTTCTTCCCACACCACAGCTCTTGAAGAAGTAATTTGCAAAGAGTAAGTAACTGTAAGTAAGTAACTAAGTACTGTAACCCAGTCTAGACCGCATGTCCTGCTCTTATCAGTATCTACTGTCTCTTTAATCATATCTGATCTTAATTTAAAGATTTGTTCTTTGTTTAAATAAGCTTGCGATCAGAAAGAATAAAATCTTGCTATGTTCTGAAACTACAAAATGAGACAGTCCATATGAGCTCTTTTAAAAATACTCCTGGGTTTTTCGTTCTGCCTGGTAACGTACTATCATTTAATATTTATGCAGTGAAACTCCTCCAGAGACCCCAATCAGTTCAGGGGTCCCACTGTTTTACACGCTGTACAGATATGCATAACGTATCAGTCTGCGTTATGCAGTCCATAAAAGGTGACTAAACTGGAGAGCCACATTTCATTTCTGATAGAGGTAGGCAGAATGCTGAGGTCAGGTATGCCACATATGCTCGTGAATTGTGGGTCAAAAAGTATAAAAGCCTCCCTTCCTCTTCTCCAATTTGTAATTCTCCATTCAGTAGGTAAATAAACAATCATTGCCTTCCCATGCAAATCAATGTGTTCTTTCATGTAAATCAATGACAGTAACGTACAAAAAAAGTAACTACTTCTTTATGAAATATACCATATTGCAAACTAATTACTCTGACTAAAAATTACAAACTCTTCTGCACTATTGCCTTGGTGATTTTTCCTTTCTGCATTTTCTCCATGTCATCCTAAGTTGCCTCAGGTGGAAGAACAGAACTACTATGCATATACTTCAGTTGTAAACCATTGACTTCAGGTTTTTCCTTTGACCAAAGCAGAAATCTGGCAAATGCTCTTATCGCGCTTATAAGTTTACAATCCCAACATTTATTGCACTTAATAATTATGAGCTTATGAGCAAATGAAGCTCACGTGGACTCTGCAGCAAGTCTTCCACACAATGAGAACTTGGTTACAAAGGGAACGATGACACCAGCCAGCAGAACAACAAATGGCTCAAGGCACCCTGCTTTTGAGTGCTAGCATATGCTGGGAAGGTCTCATGGCAGTTTTCTCAAGAAAAGCAACTTGGTCATAATCCAACTCTCGTATTTAGTATATATTCAGTCTGATTACCTTTCTCCCACTGTTTCAATTATAGTTTTGTGGAGTCTTATATTTGACTGAATGTATTGATTCTGAAAACATTATTCTTGGGCATACCATATTGCTGCAGGGAGTTGGAGTTGAATATGTTGCATACTCAGGAGAAATGAAACAAAAAGAAAACTTCAACACGCTTCCCTTTCAAATCCATCTATTATTTCTTCCTTACAAAAGAAATAAATACATTTTAAATAAGACAAAGTAAAAATCTTGGTTGTAATAACTGCTAACATGACAACTCTCTGCAAAAATAGTGCTGTCTGTATGCTGGTAGAGCTGCTCTCTCATAAATTGGCAAATTCCACCTTAATTGTAAATCAGAAGTAGTGAGCTGCTCTTGATGGAAAAAATCCTGATTTGTTGTTTTAAGGTGTGTAGTTTTTTGTTGTTGTTGTGTGGTTTTGGCATTTGTTGTTTTTTTTTGGTTTTTTTTTTTTCCTATTTTTGACTTCACACGGGATTTGTGAAGACTTACAATTTTTACCTGTTATACTAAGTATGCAACATACAGCTCTAGGCTAAAGAAATGTTCACATTTTTGGCTTCTTTTTCATGTTGCTACATCATAAAAATCCACTGCTTTTTATTATTACTGTAATATGTTTTTCAGCCCAACAAAGATCTTGCACAAACATTAAAGAATAAGAGGAGCAAAAATTTAACACTCAAGAAAAGCAATATCGAGTAGAAAGCATTAAGCCACACAGGCACAAAAATATAATCTCTGCCTGAATTTATGCAACCCGTCCTAAAATTTATGGACTGGTTACCAATGTGTTCTAATTGCCATGAGCTTCTGATGATAAAATTAACTTCCACTGATTGTAATTTTGCTTGGTTTTCGGCACTACAGGCTTAATGGTTCTCTGGTGCTTATAGGACAAAAACAAACAAACAAACAAAAAAACCCAACACAGAACAAAAAGAGTACTTGCTGCCCAACTGGGCTTAATCCTGTTCTCACTGAGATCAGTGAGAGGCCCACTACTGACTTTAACAAGGACAGGATAAAATCTATTGTAAAAATTATACTATGGAATTAATCAAATTCATATTAAAATTCTATGAGAACTGAATGGCTTTAGGACTTTAAGTTTCCAGTTCTCCAGGCAACAAATAATTGGATTCTGGTAAAATATGCCTTTTATAGTAATACTATTGACAGAAGCATAAAAACATTAATGAAAAGATATATGGCACATAAATTTTTAAAAGGTCTGGTTTGCTATGCTCAACACAGCAGAATTCTCTTTATTGTCAGAATTGTTACTCTTAAAACCTTGTGTGTAAATGGTGAAACGCATTTAGAAGACGTGAAACAAATGGATCGGTTGCACCCTCCCATTCTGTATCTATCTATAACCAACTTATGCCAAATGAATCCACTTGTAATTGTAATGACCAAAAAGAGATACATCTGTTACTTTCCAGTTTGCTTGAAAGACTGTCCCAGTTCTCTGATTACCCACTGTAAATGCCTGGGAAGTACTGTGAAAGAAGTGAAAGCCTAATGGCCCAAGCATACTTTCCAGTTGAGAAAATGAATATTCCAACTGCTCAGAACACAGTCCTGTAAACGAAAGTATAAAGGAATTTTCTTATGTGATCAGATCTCAGAGTGATGATACATCCTTATGGGAAAAGCCCATATGCAACAGCTGAGAACACGCTATAGCACAGTGAGGGATTATCCTATTTCTTTGAATTTCCAAGAAGAGTATGGGTGTTCTGCAAATAACTAACATTTTCCCCTTAGAAACATTAAATGAACGAAGTCTTTGAATACCAAGTACATCATCATCTCGCAGTATTTATTACCATTGAATTGGCTATAGTATAAAGGCTAATGTATGCTTCAATTCAAGGCTTTTATCCCTATTCCAGTGGATAAAAGTTAAAACAAGCTTTCTACAGGCCTGCTCTGTTATATTTGGGATAAACGTCTTACATGCAAGACCTAAAGCTGTGGTCATGGCAACACTTCATTTCCATGTGGAGCTGGGAGCTTCCAGATCTCAAACGTATTGATATTTGCTTCAAGGATTAAAGAGCAGGCAGGTCTATGAAATCCTGGACTTCTAAGCAGGAGAAACATCTGTTGGGTAGAACTCTAAGCAGCTTGTAGACTAAAGTCAGCAACTTGGATTTCTTAGTTAATTCAGTTGCCTTAGATCAGTAGGTGTCACTGCAGCTAACGTGGTACATAATGGAATTGCAAACATCTGCAGAGAAATAATTCAAGAGGGCAGAGGACGTATGACACAGTCAAGTAAGATACACAGCCTAACAATGTCAAACTCTTGACACGTCCAGAAATGATCTGTAGAAAAACCAGACTGATTTGTAAAATACATGTAACAAAAGCTCTGGCTCCTAGTCATTTCACAGCAAATGGGGAAAAATGCTGCGATTATTAAAGCAGCTCCCTTATGAAAGACTAGAAATAACCCTTAAAATTAAATTTAAATATGAGTAAGAATGAATGAGTGAGCAAGAAAGATAAAGATACTAATAAGGTATGATTTTCAGGTCCACACAGGGACTATAAAAAGCTTATTAACTGCCACTACTGCCGTGTGTTTTAAGTTATTTTATCATTCTGCTTTGCAGCAGAAGAAATGCTCTAGAAGCAGTGCTGTGCTTTGATTAATCTCTTTCATACATACACTTTTACAGAGTATTAAACATTGCTGTAAAGATCCTTAGTCAGTCAGACTCGTCTGTGATTACAGACCAGGCTCATTTTACATTTATGTTAATAGCAGCATTAATGAAATACATCTTTTACGTTTGTAGCGGCTCTCTAAATACCTAAAAGGTTTATTATTAAATGTTTACTTATTGGACAGAAGCATGCAATTGCGCATTACACTGGTAGGACTGAGAGCTTTGCAACAGCTGAAACAAATACAGAGAGATGAGAGTACGTTTGGGTAAAGGCTGTGATTCTAAGAACAAAGCATGCATGGCAAGGGTTGGGCAACGCTGTTCAAACCTGTACCAGTATCCAAGAAGATGGCAGCACCTCCCTGAGGCAAACCTCTGTCAGAGGGGCAGCTCTGTGCCAGGGGCAGGTGTGCATCTCTTCTCCTCGTCCCACTGCCTCTGACTACATCCCATGCCCTCCATGGTGTCTTCAGCCATGGCAACAATGGGATACCCCAGCTAAAGACCTACTGCAGCAAGACCTCCTCCTTGTCCACATGCTAATATTTTGTTGCTCCTGTTTTGTTATGTCAACATTAAACTAAGTGGCTTTTTTTTTTTTTTTTTTTTTTAAATTAACAGTATCAAGCTGCTGGAGGCTAGACTAAAATGACTGAGCTTCCAGATCCAGTCTAATGGGAGTAACAGTGATCTTTTTAACAATTCTCATTAAACACAACCTCCTCCTCCAACCCGTTTATTTCTTTGATGCCCAAATTAGCATCTTTTCTCCAGCATGCTGAATTAATTAGTACAGTGACAAAGAATTAGTGCAGATAGGATCAAAGCTGAAACCGTATTTATCTGGAATTTGAAATT